GTCACTTTCTCAGTCACTTCTTCCCTCCAGCAAAACAAAACATGTCTCTTATCCATCAGTTTAACATATATCCACCAATCTTTAACACTCTCTATGTTTCCTAAACCTACAGTTTCTCTTTACTGACTCTACCCCCTTCTAACCTATCAGCCTTCACTCTGCTCTTTTCACTCATTATTAATCCCCCCCACCCCTACTTTTAGACCCTGTTCATTTTAATGACTGCAAGTTTTCACCTTGGTGTTCTGACTCATCCCTTTTCGACACCGCCAGTATCTTTGTGTGTCTGTGTGTGTGTGTGTGTGTGTGTGTGTGTATGTATCCCCCCCACCCTTCCCCTCCTCACTGTGGATGTGTGTGTGTACGTGAGCCCACGTACACAGATTATGCGAGTGTCTGTTGTGAGGGATGCAGTGTGACGCACCGGCTGACGTCACCACAGGCTGAGACAGGATGTGTTTTTTGATGAAGAGAGCTGAATTGAAAACAGAAGTAATATGTGAGACAATTATAATTGGTCAAAACATGAGGATAAAATTGTAATAAATAAAGTAGCAATAAATCATGTTGTCATGCTTACAGCTACTGAATATGAAGTAAATAATTATGCACATACTTATACATCATAATTGATACAAATCATAATTAATCATTTTGGTCCATGTAGTCTTTTTGCCTTTCTAATTGGATTTTTGTCTTTCAGGCTCCTTAATTGGCTGTCCATGTAACAGCTTTATGGACTGCCATAACTTGAGGTGTTGTGTCCAAGCAACCGCAGTCATTTTTATGCTCATTAAAGTCTGCCACCGTTCCCTGTCCTCCTCTGCATATCTCCATTTGACCAGTGACTTATTGTGAGGCTGCAGGGAAAGTGTGTGTTTTTCGCGAATGTGAGTCATCGCAAACCAACATAGAGATGCAATACGTTTGTCATCGTATCCAGGGCTCAACTTTGTGTGTTTTTTTAATAAAGTATGCACACAATCTCTGTGTGTTAACAAGCAGCTGCTTTTGCACAAGAGATTGTTCTTAATGTGAGATGTTTTAACTATGCTCTTCCTCATGTGAGTACGGATCTATTTTTGTCTCCCCTCCTCTTCCTTACACTTCATCCTCTCATCTTGCCATTATTATCCATTCTCATTCATCCTCCCCTCCCTCTTTATTCTCTTTTCTTCTTTGCCTGTTTTTTTTTGCAACTTCCCTCTCTCATTCATCCCTCCCTCCATCCTCTTTCTTTCTTTGCTTTATCTCTGCGGTCTCCGTTTCTCTCTCCACCACTCCCTGTCGGGCCGTGCAGTGATGCTGCTCTGGCTGCCTTCCAATCCGTTTGCCCCCCCCTCCATTCCCCAACCTCCACACCTCCTTCCCTCCCTCTTGATGCTATAAATACCCGGCATCGGTGAGTCATCGCCGAGACGTATCGGTTGCCTCTCCCTCTCCATCCTCAACCCCCTCCTCTTCCTCTCTCCTCCTCTTTCCCCCTTGTAGCTCTCTCTCTCTCGCTCCTTCTTTGAGCTCATTTCCAGACCTCACAGGTCTCCCGCCTCCACTTTTGGCCCTCACATCATCATCATGACCTGTGCATGACAAGGTGCAGCCAAAGGTCAGCGTGATACCAAACACACAAACAGCAGGAGTGTGCAAAACAGGGATAACCGAAAAGTACAGCTTCATATTCACTAAGTTTCCAAGTAGGTGAAAAGAAATGTTGCCTGCGTTCTCCTCATATGCCCCCTACATAGCTTCAAAGTCAGACAAAACTTTTTTTTTTCTCTCTTGCAACATGAAAGAGAAAGAAATAAATTGTGCATCTGCTTGTTCCAGTGCTGCAAGCTGCCGCATCAAAAGAAAAAGTCTCATGTTTTACTGCACTTTAGGGCACATAATTGGTTTCTCCCGAAGCCTTGATGTGTGACTTTCACTTTAAAGAGAGGTTCTGCATTTAACTAGTGCTGTAGTACAAATTAGGAATGATTTTTTTTCATGTACGAGCCTGCAAATTGAGTTCAATAGACTAAAAGGTCATGTTGAAGCAAATTTTTTTTTTTTTAACACGGGGCATTAAATGCAGGAAAATGGGTGCTTATTGTTTCACTTCCTGCCCAAAATCAACTTCAATCACTTCTAATCCAGCCAAACCCCACTGTACCTGTGAGGCTCTAACATGTACTGTCATTGCTCCAGCATCTTTCCGCCTCACATGTAATTATTCTGTTGTGTTTTTCTTCCACCCACCTCTCCAAGGAAATGAGGCAGCTCCAGTTCATCTTCCCTCATCCTTGGGTAAACTCCAGTATGGCTTATTGGCTCACACACTGGAGAGTGCGTGCTGAGCACCAACACAGATAAAAGTTTCTTTGGGCATTTCTGAGTCATAACTAGACAGGAAGAGCGAGCGAGCGAGACACAGAGGGAGTAGGAGAATAAAAGTTGGATAAGTGTCAGAGAGCAAAAAGATGACAAGCAAAGAAGCAAACACACACAGATCATGCAATAGGGAAGATGTCCTTCACAGTTTCCTGCTGCTTGTTGTTGTTGTTGTTATCTTCGTGGTGGAGACACTCTGTGTCTGTGTGTGTGTGTGTCTGAATCAGTGGGCTAATGAAGGGAGCACTATGCCTCTGACGCACTCTCCAGTCCCAAAGGGTTGGATGGAGGGAATAGAGAGGAGGGGAGGGGTTAGATGAAGCGTTTGTCTCTCTGTGGTCTCATAGCTTCTGTTTTATTGGAAAGAAAATGCAAACCGACACAGACAGACACATCACGCAAAATGTAATGTGTTCTCGCAGACTGCTCTAACTGTATGTAAGATGTTTGTCGTTGTCAGTGAGCAATATACAAGAAGTGTTTTTCTTTTCATATACAGTCAAGGCTCAGGACAAAGAATGGATTTCATTGGTATATGTGTGTATGACCTGCCAATGTGCTACATGTACATTCGGATCCTCATTTTCATCAAACCTTTGTAAGTCTCACACCGTACAGCTGTAATAGCAGGGCCCAGTTGTTGAAAAGGATTCTGATGTCAGATCAAATCTGTCAGATTGGATCATCGATGAGCGTTGGTGCATTGAATCTTGAAAAAACAGTTTTTTTTTTGTTTTTTTTTAAAAAGGATATTTAATGCATAAGGTAATCCAGGTTATTCAATCATTAATCAGAGCACAACCTCCAGTTTTGTGTTAAAAACTAAAATTGGGATGACTTCCAGCTCAAAAATCAGGATCATCCTGATCCAGCCAGAGGACTGGACTTAGGCTGAATGACAGCAAAAAAAAAAGTGACAATTCTAAATGTGTCAGACAAACAACGTTTAATAATCATGTTGATTCATTAGGTTTTTGTTGGTGTTGTTCTAATTTTGCTCTTGATTTGCTCAATCCTTACTGTCATGGGTATTCAGATAATCCAGATTTGGTAACCTGTAAAAGTCATTATGTGCATCAGGTAGATCCTTTCCAGTTTTTCTTCTTTTCAAATGAGTTAACTAACCCTGGGTGGCAAAAGGTGACTTTTCAGATCCGAATCATTCTTACTCATATTAAACCTTTTGAACAAACCAGACCCTGCTGATTATAACAACAAATCAAATAGTTCAAAGTGGAACAAAGGAGGCAGCAGGCCATTATTACTGTAAGAGAAATTATAAGTAAAGACCAGTTCAACTGATGGCTGCTGATAACAGCTGAAACAAATCATCATTTAATCTACTAAGGGACTGACAGGAAGTTCAGGTCTATTATATTTTTAATGAACAGGACAGTTTTGCTTATTTTCAACCCTGTCTCTAAAAACAAAGTAAGGTAGATCGTATGACATACGCAGTTGTTTCGGTTTTCTCATTTATGTAGTTGGTGGCCCTTACGAACCATCCCTTCTTCTGAGTCTCACGTTTACATTTACCGCTTTTAGCTGATGCGCTTATCCCGAGAGATGGGTGAGGGGTTAGGCTCCATGCAGTGACTTGCTCAGAGACTCATCGGCAGTGACAGCTACACGTGTACAGCGGAGGGGAAAGAAGAAAGAAAAACATTTAACTCCCTGTTCTTGTGCATCCTGTCAAAGCTTCTGGAGACAATTTCACTCATTCAACAGGAACACTGTTGAACACACAGAAACTGATCCCTCCCTCATCGATTTGACCAAGTCAGTGGTTGAGTCTCCTGTCTCTCAACTGGAAGGTCGGAGTTTGACCCCCAGCTCCTGCAGTCACATGATGGAGTTTCCTTGAGCACGACACTGAACACAATTGCTTCCGCTGCTTTGCCAAAAGTGTGTGAGTGGGATAGTACTGATGGAACGTTGGGGACTTTACATAGCAGCTTTCAGTAGTCAGAGCACTAGAAAAAAGAGATCTACAAGTCCCCCCACCCCCACCCATTGCAAGCTAGCTACAAAACTATGCTAAAACCAGAAACCGATCATGGGAGAAGGCGATGTTATGGGTGAGGACAAATTTACACAGTTTTGGCTGTCTCTGATTTTCGGCTGTATTTCTTTAAAGCAAGAATACAGCGACGTACTGTGAGCGACTTAGGAAGGCTATGACAATGCATCCTGGTATATGTAGGCCCAGCTCTCTCAGTAGGAGACTTTTGCTCTCTTAGTTTGTCATTATACCAAGCACCTTTTTTTTTATTCATCATTTGAATCAACAGATCACCTCCGACATTGATTTGCATATATGTAGTGTAAAACCAATCAAATTATTTCACTTTAAAGGAGAAAACAAATCATTATTTTCACTCTGTTTTTCTTGAGGATTTCTTCGAGGATAAAAAAAAAAAGTATTTTCAAAACCACAGCTTGGGTTCTTGGAAAATGTGATACACATTGTGGACTATTTTTCTGGCATTTGATAGAGTGAGTGATGAATCCATTAATTAAGAAAACAACAGGCAGATGGATCAAAATGACAACACAAATTAGTTGTAGCCCATATGGCAGATAGATCCATTCAAATGGCAGCAGTATAACAGATGTAAGTGGGAGGAGCATTAAGAAAAGGCTTCGTCTTTATTTTTTAGTTATATTACATCTGTGATCCAACATATTGAGAAAAGCACTGAAAGAAAAAAAAAAATCCTTTGTTTACTCGTTCTGAATGAAGGTTGACTCCTAGCACTGTGTGTTCTGTTTGCGTCTACACAACACAGCTTCATCCACTTTAACACACACACGCACAGAAACACTGGCCTTCGTTGCCATAGAAACTCTGGTTTCAGGATGATTCTAATCAAGATGGGATCGACCACACAATGTGCTACACAGGTTGCGATAAGGTATGTAACACAAACCTAAAATAACACACTAAGAGTAGCATGACTTACAACACAAACTTCTTTATTTCATGACATAATTTTCAAGGCCAAATCACAAATAAATAAGGAAGGAGACACTGGAAGTTGCCCAGCTTCAAGGGCCAATTTAACACACAAAACAAGGCAAACCACCCCCTCAAAAAAGTCATCATCAGTAACAACGTTTTTTTAAATATGTTAACAGGAGACTTCACACCTGTACAATTACTGGTTTGAATCAACTTTGATCATTAACCTCCACCCTCTTAAACTATTTACAAAGCAAGTGAAATCAACAGGAGTGGTGACATTCACCCTCACACCACCACACTGTTTCTGCCTTGCCAAATGAATGTAGCAGGGCACAGCACGAGTGCGATCAACGAGAACGCAGGGAGTGCTTCACATTCCTAAGACCCCTGCAGACAGCTCGTGTGTGTTGGAAGGCAACTAGCCGCCTGTAGACGGGTAGAGGAAAACCAGCAAACAGCACAGTAAGCGACTGACTGTCCTACTGAGATGTCAGGAGAGAAATGGTTTTTCAAAAAGGGACGAACCGTATTATGATGGCAAGCTTCACATGCTAAAATAACCGATTTGTGTTTGAGCTAGTCGTTATAGCTCCTGACTGTACCTTGATGCTAAATGTCTTCAGCGACAGCAAAAAAGAAAAAACGTTTTGCTGCAGAATTCACATGGCCCTTACAAAGGCTGGTGAGAATACACTTTTTATTTTTCTGCCCACACAAACCTAAAGAGACAGATGAAAAAGTGAAGCTCCTAGTACTGAAGCTATTCAGAGAATATATCAATTAACCTGAAAACCTACAGCTGTTTCTGTTACACAGGAGGTGAAATCAACGTCCGAGAACTGTAAAACCCTTTTATATACACTTCACATATCATACACATAAAGTAGTTGTGATAAAAGTTACAGAAATACTATCCGAGTTAATGCTATTCACTCACAATTAAATAAGGAGTTTCTTCAGTTGTTCGACTGGAGTGCAGCTTTCTCGTTTCTCTTTCAAATATATATATATTCAAGCTTCTGCTGTGGTACGGTTGCACACTTCTCATCATGCAGTTTGTACAATGCCAGATATTACAGTTGGACTTTACAGTCTTTTACATGGTTTAAGCACAACAGTACGTTGACATGGGCTACAGCACGACTTCTCTATCAGTGTCTCTCTAAAGTCCTGAATGTGATTCCTATGCGCATGTTCCTCCGAGTCTTCCTTTTACACTGAAAAGTAACACATTCATACACTATGGAGTGGCAGCTGTCTGTAATTTTCTCTCTCTTTCTTATGTAATTAAGTTTAAAAATTTGTGTATAGTATTGCACATTCATTTTGTATTTCATATTCATAAGTATAAAAAAGTAACAGTTAACTAGACCTATAGTAAAGAGGATAACTTGTACAGCTGCCCAAAAAAAAGGAGCTGGGAGAGCAACCACAGGAAGGCTAATTATTACTCTACAGTAGGCTTACTTCCCTTGGAGACATCCGTACGGCGTATTGGTCAAGACTGAATATGTGGCAGGGCTGCAGTGTGTCAATGAACCAACAAAGTAACCAATAAGACACACAGGTTGGGAGGCATCAGGGAGCTGCTAAGAAACAATATAAATGAAGAGAAGGGGGCAAAGTGCAGGGAGGAAAGAATCCCAATGGACGCCTTTTACAATTGATGTTTACACCTGATGTTCAGGCCGATTAGTAGAAGGAACTGAAGCTTCTTCTAGTCAAGTAATTCAACATACGCTCAGGAAGGTACAAACTTCAGGACACAGACAAATAAGGGTAGAAAAACTCAAAGAAAAGAAAACCGCTTGTAAACAAACCCTAATTTAAATACAGGTAGTGTAAACAAGTTGGCAGTAAAGAAAAAAAAAAAAAGGAGGATGAAGGAATTAAAAAAAAACCGTCCGAATACAAAAGGAAAAAAAAAAAAAAGTTCTTCAAATTGTCTAAAAGCTCAATCTCTCATGGCTTTGCGACACAGATTCCTCCCACATGAAAAGTCTTGGACGAACGGGTTTCAAAGCCAGACATGAAGGAAACATTCACACAAAGAAACATGTAACAGAGATCCCTGCATAGATTCTTACCTGAATGTTACTTAAAGCCTAGCAGGGATCTCTTCTATCAAGCTCATGCTACCCAGAGTCCCTGCTGTGTGATCTGTGCTCCCATCTCGACCATGCTGCGCTGCTGGAAGACTCCAGAGAACAGGGAGGGGGAGGAAGGGGAGAAAAGCAGGGAGGGCGCGCTGACATCGATCCAGAGATACAGACACTTGTTTCACCGGTTTCGCAGACGTCGCACTGTATGTGCCGACTCTGTTGTCATAGCAACTAAAAGGTCTTAATCCATCAAAAAGCGAGGATGGTTCAGTTTTTCTGTGAGGGACATTCTGCCTCCTGGTCATGACAGAGACAACCTCTGTCCAACTCCTCCTTTGATCAAATCTGGTCGCAGGGAAGCAGGCGGGAGGAGGTTCATGAGATGTCATGTGTGTGCCTCTATTACAATGTGTTTTTGAGAATGTGTTACATGAATCCAAGGTAGAACTTGTATATATATATATTTATATATATGCAGGTATGTATGCCTTTCTGTGTTGTTTTGGAGTGTGTCTGTGTGCTATTTTCCTCCGTACATCCTCTCTATGTCCTCCTGGTAGTGTGATTTCAGCTCCTTGCGTTTCAGTTTGAAAGCGTCTGTGACCAAGCCGGTCTCTGGTGTCCAGGGCTCAGAGCTCAGACGGATCTTCTTGGGGATCTCGAACCGCTCCAGTTTTGCTGATTTTGAGGGAATGAGCAGATTACAAGTCAGAGAAGTAGAGTAATAAAAGCAGACGGTATCACACTCAATTTACACCGAGTACTTGATGGTAAGTGATAGAGTTGTTCTAATGAAGATACCTGGGGCGAAAACAGACTAAAATTAATTTTAATTACCGACAACTGAGCTTGTTAAAGCACAAATGTGATACCATAATTAATTAGCTCCCCCAAAGATACAACCACTAAAGCAATAGATGTAGAGTTGCAAAGAGAAACTAACTTTAAGTCAATTATCATGTAACCATAACAACAGAGATATGCTTTCAACTCATCATAATAAAACCTAGCAAAATGTCAGCAATCAGTGTTATTCCAGTACACATTTTAAATTGTTTTTTTATTTATTTAAAGTGACAATAGTTTATACTGCTAAAAACACAAAGTTAAGCTTTTTCAATTGAAAAATCTCATATGCTCCTAGTAGACAGACACAGAACCTCAGTAAGAACTGCTGAGCTAGTGTTCACTCAGCTTGTTTATGATTCCTTTGGTTGACCGAGCCAGTCATATAACCATAAAACAAATCATATTACATTCATACAGGGTAAGTAGTATGCAGACCTCTTATTCTTTTTTTAATTAGACAAACAGGGTTTAACTAAAGAATACAGGAGGGCTTTGGTCTCTACCTGCTATTGCAGCCTCAGTAATGATGCCGAGAACGTCTTTCTCAATCTGTGGGTTGTTGCAGATCTCCTCCCATGTGCCCTTCACCTGTATCTGCTCCGCCAGCGCCATCAGCTGTTTGTGGTTAGGCACCACGAAGCTGATTACATATGACTGGTCACTGAAAATGAATACATAGGTCCAGGAGTTGAGTTCAGAGGGGGGGAAAAAAATTAAATGGCAACTAGAAGCAAAGAAAATGAGACACTGGCTAACATGATTGTGAGCTCGGTTGGCCTGCATTCAAAAAGGTAACTAGAAATGACGTTCAAAGTGAAATGTTTCAGAGAGAGTGAGTGGAGGATTTTACCTGTTGGCATAGGCACAGATGTTGTCTATGAGCGAGCAGTTCTTCAGAACAGCCTCTACTTTCCCGAGAGAGACGTACTCGCCCGCCTGCAGCTTCACCAGGTCCTTCTTACGGTCTGCGGAAAAGAGCACGCGTCACAATCCTGATAGAAAAAACACTACTACCCAGACATGGAATTTAAAGTTCAAATACTATGGTATCAGTATTGTACTAACTCGTCCTTTTTACTCCTTACATTCTAAAAAAAAAAAAAAAGGCTTGTTAGTTTAGCTTAATGCATTATAGGGGGGATAAAACTAATTGCTCTATTTTTAAATCTCCAAAAAACTGCTTTTTTCCGACAAAAAAAGAAGAAGACAGGAGCGGGAAACCCCTTGCGGAGAAGAGGCTAATATTCAATGCTAAGTTTGAGGACAAACTTGAGGAGCAACTTGTAGAGACATGGATGAAAGCGATACAACTAAAGATGCTACCATCGTATGAGTGAATATTAGTGCAGCAATACATCCTGCATTGGAGAGATCTATTTAAAGAGCAAAGTCACTGTTCATTACATGATCTGCTTCACTTTGTACCCTAACAGTCATTTTCTACTTCTATATGAGGAATACATTTTAAAGTGGGTCCGTTTTCATTGTAACTTCAGTTAAGACTGCTGTATAATATTAACTTATATTACCTTTTTTTTTTCGTACTCAATCATCTGTACTTTGACTTAGGTCAAATTGTGTGCACTCTACTTGTAAAACATGCATGCACCGGTATGTGGATCTCTCACCAATGATCTTGAGGCATCCATCGGGGTGTAACTCCCCAATGTCTCCTGTGCAGAACCATCGCTGGCCGTTGACATCCACAAAAAAATCGTTGTTGTTCCTGCCTTCATTTTTGTAGTAACCCATGCTTACGTTGGGACCGCCAATCACAATCTCCCCCCGTGGATTAGGCTTGTCAGTGCTGTAGTAACCACCTTAAAGAACAAATAACGGGTTAGATGAAAAGTTCAAAGATTTGGGGCACCGGAAAGCTTAGTGGTTATGTCCCACATACGCATGGAGGTTCATCCTACAAACGGGCAGCAATGGTTCGACTCTAACCACTGTCCTAACATTTGTTGCACTTCAACCTACCCTCCTCCCAGTCCTTTAGTGTGATCTCAGAGCAAACCAATGGAGCACCGACTCGTCCTGTGCTGTAGTCCCAAACTGAAAAAAAAAAAAGGTACAAAAAAAAAAATCCTGCATTAGCATGAATCATTAATATTTGCTCCTTCCTTTATTTCCCAAAAAGGATGGCAACATCCTATGATTTTTCGGTCTTCCTTCCTTCATCAAATCATTTGTCTTACTCTCACTGATGGAGCCGGCTCCGCAGGTCTCCGTCAGGCCGTAGCCCTGCCCCACAGGGCAGCACAGGCAGATGTTCATGAAGCGCTGAGTCGCAGCCGACAGAGGAGCTCCACCAGAAAGCAGCAACCGCGTGTTCCCTCCCAAGAGCGAACGCACCCGTTTGAACACCAGACTGAGGGGGAGGATGGAGAAGAGGAGGTGGAAAAACCAAAATACACAGCATGGAGATGATGAGAAAATGCTGAATAAGACCAACAACTTAAAAAAAGCGGCTTTTAAGAATGGCCTGCCATAATTATACACAGCATCAAGATATTGGCTCATACTGAATGTATGACTCAAACTGTAAACACAATATCAGAATCAATACTCAGCAATGATTCACATCCTCTATACTGACTTTGTGTTAACAAAACCTAGCTCTAGGTTATGATTAACCATGAGCTAACAGAGGTTAATGTCTGCTCAAACAGCACAAGGGAAGCTTATGTTATGATGTTATGAAGAAGGGGCTTTGGTGGACACTGTAGAGCAGGGGTGTCAAAGTCCAATTGGGTCGGGGGCCGGATTTGTTCAAATGAGACCTCAAGTGGGCCGGACTAATTTTGCAGACATCACTATAACTCAACACATGGATATATAGGCTATGATTAGAAAAAAAAGACAGAAAAAGGTACTTGTATAGAAAACTGCATGTTAATGCATAAAATGTAAAAGTACATTAAGCAAAGGGGTTAACTCTGTCATTGCAAACTGCATGTTGGCACATTGAAATATTTAAATGTATCACATTACAGAAGAAAACATCAATAATTATGTTATGTTTGAGATTATTATATTATGTTTTAATATTGCTGTTCAAGGCTATAGAAACATTGCCACAGGTTATTCTACCTGCCCTGGGATCAGTGCATTACTAGAGAGAGAGAGAGAGAGGGAGAGAGAGAGAGAGAGAGAGAGAGAGAGAGAGACTTTAGATCTGTGTGTCAGGCCACAGCACAGTTTGCACTCGTTAAGGTTCATTACAGATAAAACCTGCTCACAAACACACAGAGTGTCTCTGATGCAAAGACCGAAGTCATCTTCGGGTATTTTAGTGTGAGGCATTATAAAATGATAACATGTTTCCAAACCAACAGACTTGAATTGATCCTTCAGCGTTGCACACTGCAGTCTGATCAGCTCCGTGTGGAGTGCACGTTAAACTCAGTTAAACAACTTTTGATATGAGTCTGGCAGTCCGTTCCTCTACGTATCCGTAGAATGCACCATGAATCTGTGCCATCTCCGTGCGCAATTCGAGGAAGCATTTTAGCGCTGCTCCACTGCTAAACCAGCGGACCTCTGTATGATCGGACAGCCTGTGCGTGATAACGTTTTTAAGAATGAAATGTTCAGTAAAAGTTATATTTTTACAGTCTGATGAAAGCTGGTGATAAAGGCACAACAGCAGGCTACTGCAAGTGATGTCGCACTGAAGCTTTTAGGTGATCAACGCAACACGTTCACCTCTGGGTGACCTAAAACTGAACCATCTGTAATTAAAATCAGTTAATATTCATTTTAATTGACTGTTTTTACAATAACCAGAGGTAAAAATAAATCGGGAGATGCATCAGGCTCAACTCCGGTGTGCGCAACCTACACTTAGTCTGGATGTGGTGAGACGGTCTGGGCCGATTGTTTTATATTTGCACGAGCTGCTCTTTGTGGCTCACTCCATTGGAAGCTTTATTAACATTAGTCAAACTTTTGTTTTACATCAGTGAAGAGAGGAGAAACTGGTAAGAAGTGTGGACAGAGCTGAAGACCGTCATGATGCGCGCGCAGTGCAGCGGTGTGCCTGTCGTTAAGTCCCGTAGCTTTGATGAAATTCTGGCAACTTGTGAGCAATTAAAACTAAAGAAATATCGCTCCTTCGATCTCTCTTGAAAACCTGCATTCTGTGTCACCTCTCTCAGGTGTTCAGCCTGTTTGCTGATGTGATGTATTACCAGCGTAATGCAGGAGCAGCTCGAGCGCTCGGCCACTCGTCTTTTTTATGATACTCCCTGCTGAGAAGATAGTTCAAAGTGCCCTGTTTATTTAATTTTCTTATATCATGATACCAACCTTTACGTTGCTCATTATACACAATTCGGGGAAAATAAGTATTACATATATTTAATTTATTTCCTCCTTCTTCCCGAAACGTCTCATGGGCCGGATGAAACCTGCTTTCGGGCCGTATGTTTGACATCCCTGCTGTAGAGGAATATAATATGTGCATAACCTCAACACCTTAATATATGTGTTACCTGTCACACAGCGGTGTGCTGTAGCCCTTAGAAATCTGCTCCATCTTGTAGTTGTAGGCTAGCACAAAGAGGGTTTTCTGGAATCTGCTCATCTCCTCCACTTTGGTCATCACATTCTTGTAGATGCGATCCATGATCTCCTACACGCAGCAGGAAGGGAAACACTCATTTAACTCTCTATTATACATTAACTTTTTTTTTTATAGCAGTATAATCAATACTGCCAGCTAGAGAGTCACAATATATTGTTTCAGCATGAAACTGTGATGCACACATGCGCTATTGTATTATCAAATTCCTAGATGTGAAATGTCAAGAAGTGCAAACACCACTTGCTAGAACTTTTTCTTTCCCAAATGTCTCTCCACCCGTTCTCTCTCTCTACATGTCAGTGTCTATGTCAGAGTCGCTGGTAGAGAGCTGAACCAGGTGAGGTAAAGGTACAACAGTTATTTTGTTTTTTTTTGGTCTAATCTGACAGATATATCAGCAATAAAAGCTATTCCAAAAACAAAAACAGAAAAAGTGCTATAACTTGTCAGAAATGTATCTCTGTGCTTTGGTACATCAGGTTCATGTTTCTGTCAATGGAAGTGTGTCAATAAAGTTTTTATCCGGAGTGAGAACCCTTTTAAGCAGAACTCATTCCCTGCTGTGTTGTAGACAAACACTGCTGTCCCTGCACATCTCCAAATGTTGCCCCTCCACTCTCCCCCTCGCTGTGCCCCAGATATTTAATTCTCCCCTTCTCTTGCAATCTGTGCTTTTTGACATTTTAACTTCTTACTTGTTGTCTTCTTCTATTCCTAGTTAATCGGCAAGCTCAGCAGTATATAATTGCCCTGCCATAGATAAACGGGGGGAGAGAGCAGGTCTGCAGGAGGACCTTCAGACGTGCAGTCGAAGAGAGGGGCAAACATGAGCAGTGAGCATAGTTTGACGCCAACCAGGAAGACGCGATCGGATACAGTGATATAGATCCAAACAACCATTGGCATAAACCACCCCTCTTGATCGGAGTGAAATTGGGTCGACGGGATTGAGTGGTGATTAAAAGACTTACCGGCACAGCAGCCATTAGAGTCGGTTTCAGCACGCTGGTGTCCCCTTTACTGCCCTTTTTGATTTTGGTAGACTGTGAGAATGACACAAAGCAAACACTCATCTTAGTAACTGAATGAGGTGAGGTCCAAACCACACAGAGCTTTACATCCAACCTTATGAATCTTCAGTGAAATGTATTTCATTGCAGCTAGAGATATAAAGGAACTTAGTTTGATTGTAGCAGAATACATCACAGGCTGCAGTTAAAACGTACAGGCAGCAACATGTGTACTTGTGTGCTCTTCTACACTGACCTGGTCGGCGAGAGTCTGAGGGGAGGAGTAGCCGATGCGACAACCGTGAGAGATGCACACCAGCTCAGCACTGAGCTCTAAAACGTGGGCCAGTGGCAGGTAGCCGATGTAGGTGTCTGTTTCACTGCCAGCACAGAAACAAAAACCAGATTAATTTCCAGGACAGAAGAGAGCAAATGCGGCGACAGAGCAGGAAAGTAAAAAGTGTGTGATATCTTGCGCATTTGGAGAGCAGCCTAACTTGAGAAGAAGAGGAAGAGGAGGAAGAGGAGTAAGAGAGAAGAGGAAGTGTCAGAGTGAATATGATAACAGCATACTTGAGGTTAGGAATCCGCTCAGCCATGCCGGTGATTCCAGCAACAATGTTGCCATGGGAGATCATGACACCCTTGGGGATGCCTGTGGAGCCGCTGGTGTACATGATGACAGCAATGTCAGAGGGCTCTGGCTTTTTGCGGCTCACTGCGACTGCGGAGACAGTGGAGTGTACAGATAAGAGAGGAAATGGATTACTCACCGCCATAAACATCATCAGTTATAATAAGTACACTGTAATACAGAAAAGTCGTAATAAGGGTCTTTTTCAACAGCTTAAAGGCTTTATATGCGATTTTTTGATCTAGCAGATGTTGCCCTTGAGCACCAGCATGAAACCAAAACAACTTGCGGTGCATTGTTGTGTTAGCATGCTAATGCTAGCGATCTTTATTATGATAGTATCTTCACACTAAACGTAAATTTACCCAAAATGAGCGTAATCTAGAAACACAGTTAAGCAGTGAGTACAGTATGTTATTCTTCTTTTCTCTAGTCCCTCAATTAAACAACTTTTATTCGCGAGGGGAGGAGTCAGCCGTCGTCCTGGCGATGTAAACAAACTGAAGATAGGACTCGGAAAACATCACAGACAGCGGACTCGGGTGTTACACCCATTGTAGACAGTCATGACTTGATTTCTATTATATTTAAGTGTGAAAAATATATAAAGCCTTTAAGGTTCAATATGTAAGATATCTACTGAATGAAATCATGAAATGACCTCACTATATGATCAGACATTAAGAAAACATACTATGTTGATGTTCTGGCTTCTCTGCCAACAATGCAGCAGCCAGTACGTCCTCCTTTTAAGTGTTGATTCCGGCTGGAATGGTCTGTATTTGTTTTAGCCAGACAAGGTACGCAGTTTTAAAACCAACACCACACGGCCGTTTTGCACGCCCCTCGGTTTGCCAGGCAAACATCAAACCAACAGTTGTTGCAGTGATGGAAGCGGGCCAGCGAACCGGTTCAGATGTAACTGTTTCAACCCAACCTAAAAAAAAAACCCTGCAGAGCCCAGAAGATTTCAAGACCGATTGCAAAAATGTTTAAATTCTGAAGCTTCCGTGTCCGCAACATGGCACCATGATCTCTAGGGAAAGGGGTGAGGAGAGCCAGCTCTCTCCAATGTTTTGAACTTTGACTGCAGTACAACGCTACATGTCTGAGTTATATATTGCCTCTTTAATGCTTTGGAAAGGCTGTGAATATTTTTTGGACGAGCAGCATCTTTTTGGACTACTTTTATAATGAATCAATCTATTGATTATTTTTCTGTCAAATGTCAGCAAGAAGAAGAGACCTAGGTGCATGATTTGATCAACTTAAGTGTGATTGTTAAAGGAACGTTGGCCTTAAGTTTCCTCCTGTTTGTTTTCTTTCCTAGTGCTATGACAGGAAAAGAACATCTTGTTTGTGTTAAGTGGACAATGTTGTTGCAGCGTGGAGCGTTTTGCAGAACAGTCTGACCTGGTGCTGAATCTGTCATGCACAGCACATCACTTTAATTACATATCAGGGTGTTAAGCCTGCACTTCCATTTCCTGACAAAATTAGAAACCTTTTTTTAAAATCACATTGGCACAAACACTCACTGTTGTGAGGCTTGGATCCCATCTCCTTCACAGCATCCATGTTGAGCACCACAATGCCTCTGGGGATGTTTGGCCAGCTGGTGGGTCTACTGTCCACTACAATGACATAGCGCAGTCTGGGTACATCACACAGTATGGCCTGAGGAAGGAGGGAGAGTGGGAAGAAAAAGTAATTATGTAAATATAGCTGAGCTCCTTATCCGGCCTTATTGTCACAACCTGTGATTCAGAGAGGAATCAATGACTCCAAAGTGCTTAATCTTGTTTCTCACAGGAGATTAATAGCGACAGGTGATGTTCAGAAAAAGCGGGTACCTTGAGACGACTCTGAAGCAGGTCCTTGCTTGTGATGATGTGTGTGACCTCAGTTTCATTCAGGCCATGGGCGATGGCCATGGGTCCAAGGGTGGAGTACAGGGTCACCACTGCCACATTAAAAATTAGTTGACGTTAATGTCAAGGGCTTTTGTGTGGTCTGAGAGGATTTTGTTATCAACATCTGCCTTTGTGTCACTTACGTGGGAAATTGTACATGAAGCAGGCTTGTGCTGCTAGGAGCCACTCCGCTCTGGTCTCACAGAAGATGGCGATGTTGCACTGAGGCCTCTGCCCCAAAGCTGCCAGACCACTGCCGAAACACTTTGCTCCCTGGTATGCTTCCTCGTATGACAGCCAGTTATAGTTCCCAAGAATGACCTGAAAGACAACATGCGCGTTTAAACTGTATTCAGGTTTATTGTTTCCACACTCGACATGTATGTATGGTGCACACTTTTTAGAAGACGTGGGTAGCTTTAGAGAAAGCTTAAAGCTGAATTAAATCTGAAAACTTTTGAATCTGAAAACATCCTGACACAGGACGATACATCATCATCGATCATACGTGGTCATGTAGCACCATCTACAGGGCCACTGCAGCTACGCAGGTGTTAATGAGGTTTTCTCTAAGCTGTCGCACGATTGGCTTCTGCTCTCAGCGCTCCTCCTCCGCACACATTTGTCGCACTGTGCACAGCAGCAGGCTAAGCTGTCAGCCTCACACGCAAGTTGCTGGAATACATCCTGTCATCCCACTGGTGTACTACTTGGAGAGAAAATGAGATGTACCACCCACTGAATAAATCCCTGCTCCTGAAGAAAACCATTAAAGAATATAATAATGACAAAAATAATCAAACAAGGTGATAAACTTTCTGTTGCCTGTGTGTTTGATAGTAACAAGAAGAAGTCTTTTACCTTTTTGAAGACCTTCCCATTAGGCTGGGGCTCATCTTCTTCACTCAACACCTCCCTGGTACCCAGACAATCCCTCTCTGGAAACTGCACTGAAGCGTATTCAAACATTTTGTCTATGGTGTCCACCCCGGGCTGCAGGAATGCTAACAGCTTCTCCTGACAGTTGATGGCCCTGTACGGCCCTGCTGGGTGTCCACTGATTGATCGTGCCTTGAGCCGGCGAGCTCGATCCAGGTTGGATCCTGTTCCCGAGAGGAAGTACCAGGGTATGAAGGTGATGAAGGAGTAGACCCAAACAACGGAGCGGAAGACCTGCAGCAGCAGGGGGTTCATATCCTCCTTCAGCTTCATCTTTGACGATGAAGTCAACCAGAAAGGCAGTGATACCTGGCACCCACCGTCACTGATCTATTTTGACTCGCTGCCGAGGCTGAAGGTTGTAGGCAGCAAGGGGCTCTTTTGTGCAGCACAGCAACGACACCTGCAACACGGAGACACAACAGGAGATTTTAGAAGTCACGTTGGGAATAAAAGATGATTCAGCACATTGGGGAACTATCGAGCGGCATCGAATGCTTGCTACGGCCTCCAGGTAAATTAATCCTCGCCTGCCCTAAGACCATCTGCCTATTCTTAGTCCTGCTCTCAGTCAGCATTCTATTCTCTCACAAGACCCACTGGCCCCGCTCCACAGAGGGCCTTACAGAGAGAGCATGACACTACTAGAAAACTGAAGATCACCAAGAATTCATAACTGTACTGAAATGATTAGGTAAACACATGATTTGTTGAAAGATGAAAAATATATAAGTCCTACCTTGGGATGATGATTTACTGTTACATTTCATTGTAAGTTTTTGCTGCCTGCCAGACTTCACAGCAATTTGAGGGCAACATGTGTTCTCTGAAAATATTCAGATCCACACATTTTAACTTAAAAACGACATTTTCAAACAATCTTAGAGACCATAAAGCAACTTTCGAATGCAGGTCAATTAAACATTGGTTTTCCAGAATTAAAACACCTACTCCTTTTTGTAACTTACACCACAAAGTGTAATTGCATTTGCAACTGCAGGAATACACCGTATGCTATTCGCCTTACTGCTTTCAGTATTTTTGGCTGTACTACAAAAACCTTCGGATGAACTCTGACCCGCTGCTATTTCTAGTGTATCCTTTGGGTGACAGAATAATTTTCAGTGCATCCGAATAGCCACTCAGCCAGAGCATACTAGAAACTAGCGGCTGTGACTCATTTTTGCAGCTCATAAGCAGATGTCCAGAGGTCAGGTGGGAGGTTAGCATAACGTGGACAGCTAATGTAACAGCACTGAGAAGAATCTCACACTCGCCGATGAGGTGGGCCGCTCCTAGACTCATGTAAAACACAAACAACAAGAAATCAAAAAAACAACCTGAATACTACTGAGTGACACTCTACATGCTCAGCCGCATATTTAAGAACATTTCAGGAAGATCTTATTCAGCTAGCGTAGTATTTTACCTTCTATTATGAGCTATTTTGATGGCATGGACGCAGATACTTCACATTTTAGTGTTGTCTGATGTCGGTCACCTGCACTGCACCACTCTCTTGTGCTCCAGAAAGGACCGTGATAGCACTTTAATACCATAGGCAGGACAATAATAACCCTGCAGAGGTCAACCTTTTTCTACACAATAGATGATTGCCTCTCACTATAATATGAATTCAAAGGTGTGTGTGTGTACGACGAGCGAGTACACATGGATGTTTACGCAAGTGCTCCGAGCTGCCTCACATGATTACATTTTGCACAAATCTATCATCAAATCAAACTTTTGTTTTTGTAGTGGGGAGGGGGGGGAACACGAGATGATTATTCTCTGCATTCTCTCGTCAAACCGCAGCTCACTTTACCTTTAAGTAATCATCTCAAGCGAGACGACATAAGCGGCTTCAGCCTTAGAAAGAGAGGTGGAACATGTATCACCTGTTTGACCGCATCTTTCAAAACGACACAATGCCTCCCGAAGTAACTCACAAAGAACAAGCTATCACTACTATAAGGGGATGTTGTAATCAGCTAGTCAATGCCTTTATGTGTTCTAAAAGAAGACACACCGGCTCTGACCTGACACACAGGTTTGAATGACTTACCAGTGATGTAGCTTTTCAACCAACACTTCATTGAGATAATATTATCATAATGGTAATGCTAGACAATCAAGGAAGGTGTGTTATGTTGACATGAGATATATACATATATATACACATATTATATATATATATATATATAAAAACACACACAAACCATCAATTACCTCATGTTCTGGTGTGTAAAGTAACCAGGACTGAAACACCTGACACTACAGATAAACTAACAAAGTGTTTCAGTGAATACTACACAGCCAGCAGCCTATTACTCCATGATGTACCTTCATTAACTAGAATTTACCTACCTACAATGACGCTACATCTTCTCAACAGTGATCCTAAGTAACTAGCAGGACCACAGGATGATGTTAAATCACACCTTTCCATTTATGTTTTTAGGAATCTGCTACTTATTTGACGCAACTCCCGATGTTATTGTGTTATTTATTTTTTTTACGTCAGATAATGTTACCTTTCAGTCTGGAATAGTCGTGTCAATGTCTAAAAATCGCTGGACAAATATCGTAACACACATCGGTGTTAAGATGCTGCCACAGCCTAACATCGATCCCTCCGCGGTGTTTGTGTCTACGATTATAAAAGGCTAGCGAAGTAGCTTCAAGGTTAGCAGCTAGCGGCTAGCTCAGACGAGTTAACACCACTGCAGCAGTTGTTGGCTCGCTTCCGGTCTACTAAAAATCATTTTATTAACCAATGTGATCGTGAGAATTAAAGACGACAGACACGCTGTACTGAAAAGAAACCAAAAGAGTGGCACATTACAGGCTTGATAAGCACGCTGTCCCTCTCATCCACATCTGCAACACATCCTCACCTCTTCTTCTCTTTTCACCGCTGCGGGATCGGATCAGCTGTGTTTATCCTTCGTAACAAAAGCTCAGCCATTGTACTCATTTGTACGCTATTAAAACAGAGCACGCAGTAATAGATCACAAGTGTGTCATAAAACGAATAAAAAAAATTCAGTGATATTGTAAATCAGAGCATCGCCGGGACAGCGAGCAACAAGCCCGGAAGTGTCGTGTGACGTTGGGATATTTCCCCGTCATCGATTGGAGGACTGGAGGTGGCGCGTGCTTGGGGCTGCGGGGACGTCAGTGAGGTAACTCGCGGTCACAGCTCAGTCGAGACGGAATGAGCAGGCTGTGAAACGCGGCGAAGTGTATCTCGTTTTTTTTTTTTTTTTCCTGTCATTACAGTCGTGTAAATGCTCAGTAGTGCGCCATGTCTTAAATACGCCACCCGGTGTTCGTTTAGCGTTTAGTTGCGTTGGATTAATGGAATGCCGAAAGAGTCACAATTCATTACATCACAAGACAGGCAGCCATTTGCCTCCGACGTCACACTAGTGCAGCAGGGGTGTCAAAATCATTTTGGGTCGGCAGCATAGTTGTTCACAAGAGATCTCATAAGGGAGCCGGAGTATTTTTTCCCACATCCATTTGACTCAACACATGAGTGTTGCTAAATGATTTATTATTTCAAATCATTCAAATAAAGTAGGCCCAGACTTGTAGCAATGAGCACTGAATGAAAACACACAAAAAGGAAATAATTACTCTGAGCAGAGAGTTTAACAGCAACACATTTGAACAAATCAGACAGTGAATAAGTCTCGCAAGATATTAAAAGATCTAGGCTATTTCAAATTTAAATGGTTTAGGCATTCACGAATCATGACTTTATAAGACAGCTTGGAACATGATTTCAGCAGGCTCGCACATTTTTATGTTGGCACATGAAAATGATGTACAACAGTAGGCTACTGGAGAAAAGTACAACAAAAACGCCTTACACAAGGGGCACAGTAAGAGCTCTTAGAACAAAAACATATTTTGTATTTTCACTTGTTTGTAAATTCTCAGATATATTTCAATATTGCTGTTTAAGGCTGTAAAATAGCAAATCATTTTACAGCTGATCTGACATCTGGGTTATGATACTTTTTGCATTTAGTCTTTCCAATCAGCAGTGAGCAGTGCTTTTGAATGGTTGATTCAGATGTCTGTACATGTCAGCCAAATGTGCAGTTTGGACTTGTTAAGGTTCAACACTTAGAAAGCCTGCACTCATACATATGTCGTCACAAACATGCAGAGTGTCTTTGATGCAAACACTGTTGTCTTCAGGTAATTCGAATGAACTCTGGATGACCTAATTTGTAAATAAAGTCAATTAATATAAATGTAACATTAGGCTACTATTATAAAAATAATCAGGATTTGATCAGATGCCAGAGTCTCAACCCTGAGAAGTGCACACTTTGTCTGAATGGGTGCAGACGGTCCTTAACACATGATGGATGAATAGATCCTTTAGCTCTGATCACATTTTGTAACTTGCAACTTGTTAGCAAAATGAGAGAAAAAAATACTGCTCCTTCCATCTCTCTTGAAAAACCTTGCATTCTTTGTCTCATTTTAGACAGCATGTTTGCCGAGCCAATGTAAGACAGCAGAAGCGTGCAACTCATCTTTATGATGTAACTCCCTGCTGAGAAGAAAGTTTAAAGTGCCACGTTCAATGAATTTATTGTATCTTTATATTGATCTTTCCCAATTACACATAGTGTACAACAATTGAGTGAAAATATGTATTAAAAATGATTTTATATGAAAATCTCATACACAATTTTTTCCCAGTTGATATTTCTCTACTTCTCAAAACGTCTCGCGGCCAGAGGAAACCTGCTTGTGGGCTGAATTCAGCCAGCAGGCCATAAGTTTGACATCCCTGCATTAGTGATCTTGGGAGCTGAAATAATGTTGTCAGAAGGATAAACCCTGCTGTTCTGTTAATTCATTCTGAATTGAATACTGCTTTTCTATCATATCAAGTTGTATCATTATCATCTGTAATGTTTGGAGAAATGAGGGTGGAAATAAGCTTGTGTAGCCTAATGGCAGCATATCAGTTAACAAACAGGCTTTAAAGGCTATAGTTTTAGCTTGAAGTAGCATATTGACAAATGTTTCCTCCAGATTGTTGATTGATTAATACATTTATTAATTTAATGTTTTCATTATAGGGAAAAGTATAAAGCAAGCAAGTAAATAGTTGGCACATGAATCAGTTATTTCCCAGACAAAATTGTATTGCACATCCCTATGGGCTTTAAAAAAACATAAAAACTAACAAACAGCCTAAACAGGAAACAGTATCTATGAGCCAAAATTAAACAGACATGACTTTATCTTATCAGTTGTTAATCAATCAGACACAGCAGGATTATTAGAAATTGTAAGATTTCCAATATGTATGAGTTAAAAAATGAAACACATCAGTTCAGCATTTGAGCTTCCCCGACTTGACACCACAATATGGATCACCAAAAGGAACACAATTTGAATTTTGGCTTCTCTGCACTTAATAAATCCTTCGTGTAGCACTCTACATTAACCCCACACCAAAATATATCTTTAGGGTATATTTTGGACTACTTCAGTTTATACCTCTCAAGTTCAGATTATACCCCTTGTGTTTTTCATAAATAGATATTTACTTCAATGTCAAGAGTTTTTTTTCCATCATAATTTATATATTTTGGACCAAACCAGACTATATCTCTTCTGTCTGGATTATACCTCATTGTGTTTTTCATAAATACAGTCTCAAAGGAATAATACACTTGATTTAGTTTTAAGTAATAGATAAAATGTGATTACAATTTTTTTTGTAAAATTGACATTACAATCAGCTAAGTCAAAAGTTATTTGTAAATTAGGACCCCTATGAAGAATGTTCTCCTGTTGTTGAAGTAATATCTGTTGTATGTTAACCATGCCGGGAGATATTGCTTTGTTTTGTTATTATTGAGTGTCTTGTTTGTGCCTCAACATGTTATTATGGTATAGAGGTGTAAATAAATGATAATGAAATGAATAAACTGGAACATTCCAGTATGAAAGAGGCTCCTGCCCACTTTAACCCAAAGTAAAAAGTCTGGGGAGGGGTTATATTTTGGGCTGTTACACTGACTTTATTAAGCACAAGAGGGCATTTAAACATGTTTGTGATCCTTATGCTTGGATTTGACAGCAGATCAAATTGAAGTGGAATCAGTACAGAAGAATGTCAGAGCACAGTAACCAATAACTGATCTTCTTTGCTGATTTTATGTGTCCAAAAGAAAGTTACACCTTTATGCATACTAACCACCATTGTATGATAACTGCAAAATACCCAGGATATTACCATTACCTATTTGATATTACTTTGGTAACCAACCCTCTAAATGTTTTCTGACATATAAGAGAATAATACTACATTACCTGCTGTAGTCAAGCTTATTTAAACCACTTGAAACCACATGATTGGTTGTTTTCAGGATTCAGACGATCATATATAGATATGTGAATAGTTGATTCAGGATGATTTAATGCAGTTTAAATTATTATTGCTATTGATTGACTTGTGTATATGATTGCAGCAGATGTGTCTTTTATTTGAAGTATAGAACTGTAACTTCAAGAGCAGCTTTGGTTCATTCCCTTCCTGGCATTGGTGATAAACTGTGCTGCTGAACAAGAGACAAATCAGAGAGAATTGAATTGTTGTTGTGGCTATGAAAACATTTTTGAATATTGTGATAGTTACAGGGGAAGAGGTGCAGCTACTGAGAGAGGCCTTCAGAACAATCTATGGCCTGGATTGAGTCGGCCAGCCTGAAAAAAGATTGGATTAAGGCTGGGGAATGTGTAGCCTACATTTGTTGTTTCTTTTCTTTTATCTTTTCTTTATTATTATTTATTTACAAGTTAATAGTAGTTAGAAATTGTAGTAAAACTTCAAATCCAGAGGTAGGCGGTAATGCAAACTTTTGGTTGTCAATCACCTTTAAAACCAACGAGAAGAGCAGCTCTGACGTAGGGTTTCGCGAGATCGCAGAGCTTCAGCAGCGAGATGTAAATACGGAAGTGGCAGGACGGACACATTTTCACGTGTTAAACTTTGGCACTTTTTGGGGCAATTTTACAATTTGGTCAAGAGTAAAAGTCTTACTTTCAGTCCAAAGGGGAGCTGGTAAGCCTAATGCAAACTTCGCATCTCAAACCGGAAAGACGAAGTAGGCTATTGACACGGACGACTGACCGAGGTGTGTACTTTATGTCACGTGAAGGGAACACAAAAACGATGCATTCTGGGCTACCTGCATTTCTTGTGCCACTTTTTAACAGCAGGGATGTGACTCTTCCGGATAAATCGAAGAGGCGACCCTCGTAAATCATGGATAAAGAAAAGGGCTAAAATTATGTTTTGTGAAATAAAAAGAACCACAAACGTAACTGTTAATACCTATGATAGCCTACTTTTCATTTCCTAGTATCATGCTGAGTTTAGTGTTGAACACACACACACACACACACACACACACACACACACACACACACACACACACACACACACACACACACACACACACACACACACACACACACACACACACACACACAACCAAGTGTATTGCAGTCATGTCATACATAGTATACGTATTAAAAGGTCTACATAGACGAAGCCTACTTATTTCAGCCCACAGCTCTAGAAATTCTGCAGTGGTGAAATAGGCTGTTGCCGAAACAGAGTTTTGTAACGATAGTAAAATATAAATGTTAACACATTTCTCATTAAAGTGTTTTAAAGCACTCATCATGATGACATAATCATCCATCTGAAGAAAACTGGGATTTACTTAACAGAACACCTTGGTGGGAGGCTAGTTTGATTGAAATAAATGGGACAAAGTTTACAGTTTTCTTTAAAAAAACAAAAACATTTTTACCTCTCCATGAGCTCATGCACTGAACTCCAACGACTTGAGTTGTACGGACATTATTCTGTCTATTTCGAAACCAGTCAATCACCATAGTTAATGGGAGTTTCTTAGGTGTAGCTGTAATGACAAAAGTGAAGGAACTAATAATAAACGTGTCTCAGGAAAGGCTGTACATATGACAAGTAACCATGACAAAATGTCTATGTAAAATGTTCCTTTTAGTTTGCTTTCTAATTTTTCCTC